TGGGGAATTCTGGGAGCTGAAGTCCACACATCTTAACATCATCAAGGTTGAGGGTTTCCTGCCTGAGCAGGGGGTTGGACTAGAAGACCTCCAAGGTCCCTTCCAACTCTGTTATTCTGTTATTGCTCTAAGGAGAAGAAAAATAAGTCAGGGGACATCCTGAGGGACATCATATGGATGACACCGAAATCTTCCTACCCCTTTTGATTTGAGTTTAGAGACAGGAGGAGCAGAAGGCTCTTAGGGCAGTGATCCTCTTTTCCCTTGCTGATTGCAATCTTTTGATCTGCTCTGCAGAAAACAAAGGTCACTGATGGATCCCATCTTGCATAATTCCACCTCTTCATCTGCAGGATTTGGATTCCATTTCTTGCAGTCACGTTAGCAGGTGCTACTCAGATGTGACAGGGAGGGTGAGAGAGAGAGAGAAAGAGAGAGAGAGAGAGAGAGAGAGAGAGAGAGAGAGAGAGAGAGAGACTTTGACACTTGTGAATGCCAAATTTGATATGAGTGAAACTGAAGCATGCTGGTTTAAGGACTCGGGCAATCCAATTAATTGGATGTGTGTAATGGAAGGCTTGTGAAACTAGGTGCTGATGTGGGTGTCAGGTTGCAATTCTCCATCGGTTAGAACCTGCTTGTTAACTGTTACAAATTTAGGAATTGCAAAAAGGGCTCCAGATGAGATCAAAAACAGCTAAGTCTGAGAGTTAAGATTCATTCATTCATTCATTTATAGCTGGCTGAGGAATTCTGGGAGTTGAAGTCCACAAGTCATAAAAGGGCCAAGTTTGAAGACCCCTGTCATAGATCATGAATCATAAGATATAACAAGTGATAAATCATAATATACCAATAGGAGAAGGTTGTAGGAGAGATGAGAAGGTGAGAAAGGATGAGAAGATGAGAAAGATGAGTAGATGAGATGCTCTACAGCTTACTGCATGAGTCTTCAAACTTGGCCCTTTTATGACTTGTGGACCAACTCCCAGAATTCCTCAGCCAGCGTGCCTGGCTTAGGAATTCTGGGAGTTGAAGTCCACAAGTCATAAAAGGGCCAGGTTTGAAGATCCCTGGCCTACTGTATGGGTAAATTTCTTTAGGTCTAAGACAGGGGTGTCAAACTGCCGGCCCACGGGCTGGATGCATCGCGTAGAAGCCACACCCATCCCATTGCCGGCAATGGCAAAACTGTCCTGATACGTTGCATGATGTCACGTCGCAGGTTTGACATGTAAGTAAGTAAGACAATGCATGTAAGACAATGCTGTGGGAGTTAGGTGTATAATTATTTTGTGTCTAATTATTTTGGCATGCAGTGCCCTATAGTGGCGTCCTGAGGGGAGAAGTTAAAACAGTTTATGTCCAGAATGTGAGGTGTCTGTAGATATTTTCTTAGCCCTCTTTCTGGTTCGTGCAGTATACAAATCCTCAATGGAAGGCAAGCTGGTTGCAGTTGTTTATTCTGCAGTCCTAACTATCCGTTGAAGTCTGTACCTGTCCTGTTTGGTTGCTGTACCAAACCGGACAGCTGCTGAGGTACAACTGGCAGACTCAATAATTCCTCTGTAGAACTGTATCAGCAGGTCCTTGGGCAATCGGACTTTTCTGAGTTGATGCAGGAAGAACATTCTTTGTTGTGCCTTTTTAATAGTGGTTCTAATGTGAGGCGTCTATTTTAAGTCCTGGGAGATTATAGAACCCAGAAACCTGAAGATCTCTACTGTTGATACTGTGTTGTCCAATATTGTAAAAGGTGGTAGAATAGGAGAGCTTCTCCTAAAATCTACTACCATCCTTACAGTTTTAAGAGTGGAATCTTCTGGGATTGTGGATTTAGGAATTAACATCTGTTGGAATAATGCCTGTTTGCTTGTTAGTCAAAGACCCATCAAGACATTTGCTCTTAATTTTGTTTTCATTCTGTTGCAGTTCAGATAACTTTTAATTCCAAAGCAACCATCTCTGGTCCCGGCTTACCAGCAGTGTATTGGCTGCACAGCGCCCACTGGCATTGGGGCACCCAAAATACCAATGGCGCAGAGCACACAATCAATGGCCAACGCTATGCCATGGAGGTAATCAATTCAGGGTGCTGGCAAAAATAAAATTACTAAGAGATGAATGTTTGGTTTGATGTAGGAGAATACAGGTAATTCTCAATTTATGACCACAATCTGAGACCAGAATTTCTGTTGCTGAGCAAAGTGATTGTTAAGTGGATGTCACCTGATGTGTGGATGATGATTGTAGGTGTGAGGACCAGTTGTAAGTTACATTTTTCAGTGACTTTGTAACTTTGAATGGTCACAAAGAAAATGGTTGTAAGTCAAGGGCTATGGAGATTCTCAGTCATCCAAGTCATGCTTGTCTCAAAGGTGCTTTTTCAAGGGGCAACTGGACTTTCTTGTCTCTCTTTGAAGATGTTTCTCTTTTCACCTAAGCAGCTTCTTCATTTCTGTCAGAATGGTGGGGAACGACTCCCAGAAAGAGTGCTAATGACCAGATGACTGCAAGGAATATAAATCCTTTCATTCTCCAACATTCAGTCAGAATGGAACAAGCTTCTTGGATGAGAAGCGAAACATGGAAAAACAAAGGAAAAACAAAGAAAACCCAGTTGCCTCTTGAAAAAAAGCACCTTTGGGACAACCTGTAGTGCTGATTACTTGACCAGCTAAGATCAATTTACCTATTCTGCAACCAGAATCTTTAACTGTGCTTTCTGCATTTCTACTTTGGCAGCTTTTTTCATAAGCTATTATGTATGTTGCTGATAGTCCTCAGGGGAAGGATGTAAAAATCAGTAATGGGGGGTGCAAAGTCCTTTCAGAATAGATTACTTGTTAAAAAGGAAACACAACTACTGTCCTGATCACAACTATCTGAAGAGAACAGGTGGGAACTACAAGTAGCCAACCACTGAGCTTTATAGATTGTGTGTGTGTAGGATAGGATGGAATGATTGGCTGGGGGAATTCTGGGAGTTAAAATCCACATGTCTTAAAATTGCCAGGGTTGGGAAAAACTGTTTTATACACACAGTCCTCAATTTATGATCACAATTGAGCCCAAAGTTTTCACTGCTAAGCGACACAGTTGTTAGGTGAGTTTTGCCCCATTTTATGACCTGTCTTGCCACGGTTGTTAATTGACTCACTGCATTTGTTGAGTTAGTAGCAGGGGGTTGTTAAGTGAATCTGGTTTTCCCCATTGATTTTGCTTGTCAGAAGGTTGCAAAATGTGATCACATGACCCTGGGACACCGCGACCATCACAAACAGGAGCCAGTTGCCAAGCATCTGAATGTGACCGTGGGGATGCTGCAAAGGTCGTAAATGTGAAAAACGGTCACAAGTCACTTTTGTCAGGGCCATTGTAACTTCAAATGGTCACTAAGCAAACGGTTGTGAGTCGAGGGCTACCTGCATTGTTAACACACTCTGTTTAAAATATTGGTGCTCATGCTCATTCTCCATTCTTGCACCAGATGCACGTGGTTCACACTAAAAACAATATGAGTTTAGAAGATGCGAAGAAGGATCCTCAAGGTTTGGTTGTCCTGGCATTCTTCATGCAGGTAAGCAGCGCAAATGGTTGGCCAGGAAGAATGCCAATCCAGCGCTGGATTGGTCCAAGAGTATCTGTCCCTCGGGCAGCCTAGGGTGGCATCAGTGAGGGAACGCTGCCGTGGCCCTGGCCCAGGCCGGCCGGGAGCCAATGTACAATTTTGTGGTGGCCATCTATGCTGAAACGCATTCAGTCTTAGCTCCACGAGGCCATCTGGAAACAGCGAGGAACCAGCCCCTGCCGCGTCGGGCCCGCCCCCTGGGTGCATGCTGGGGAGGTTTCACCCTTTGTGAGGAATGAAGAAATGGACCATGCCTTGGTCCTTGCCCTGGTCCCACCCCCTTCTGCCAGAGACCCTCAGATCTGTCCCACTCCTGCCCAGGCCCCCACAGGCACCCTTGACGCGAACGATGTAGAGCTGGCCATGCCCACCCAGTAGGCCACACCCACCCTGGCCAAACCCACCCGGCCCCCCGAGGGCAACCGCAATGCTGATGCGGCCCTCAATGAAATTGAGTTTGACATCCCTGCTATATATATATATATATAGACATAAATGCAACTGTAACCCACTTTTGCGCCAGGCACATTCTTGCTATTCTCTGCAAGCTGGCATCTCTAATTGAGAGACTATTTTGCAAGCTAAGCGACTATTCCCTGTATCCCACCAACTATACAGTACATACAGTTTCTTAGTATAGCACAGGAGACCTTATATACTGTTTTCTTTCAATTTGCTACAGATATCCCAAGGGGTTTACTATATCACTCCATGGACCACTCTAGCCAATCTTCTCAACAAAATCCCAGAAAAAGGTGAGTCTCTGGATCTCCCCTCCCCCTCAGTCCCACCCACTTCCCTAAAATAAAAATGAGGTGATGTTGTCTCTTTTTTCTGGTTTTTCAGATGATTCTTGGGATCTGAATGGGGAATTCTCTCTGGGTGGTTTATTGAAGACAGCAGATGTAAGCAGTTATTACTGCTACAGCGGTTCTCTCACTTCTCCAGACTGTGAAGAGTCTGTGATCTGGATTGTCTTTCGAGAACCCATTGGGATTTTTTACCAAGAGGTGAGTGGATAAGATCCGATTCATCTCAACTTTCAGGAATGGATTCTAAGGTTCTCTGAAAATAGACTGGCCCTTATTAGAGTCAGTTGATCCTCAAATGCTCAGATTCCTGAGTTTGTCGCAAAACCGCTATGGATTAGGACAGAGTTGCTATAAGCAAATACTGTAGATCAAGTTTTGCATTTAGAGCTGGCCATGTCATAAGGCAAAGAAGTGGCAGATACTGATGGCAGATACTGATGGGTGGTGGTGGTGGTGACAGAGAACTATTGAAAGAGCTACAGGTAGCCTTAAACTTATAACAGGTTATTTTATGACTGTTCAAAGTTGTGACGGCCTCTGAAAGGTGCTTATGGCTTGTGAAGCACTTCCGAGTGTCGTAAAAATGTTGCAAAACAACCACCCCCAAGGTCACGTGATTGCTTGGCAACTGCTCACATTTATGACTGGCTGCAGGATCCCGCGGTCACATGTCCATTATTTTGGGATGTTTTTGCCAGTTTCAGGACAATGGATTTGCTTAATGATGTGTGAAAAATTGTCATAAGTTACCTTTTTCAGTGCTATTATAGCTTTGAACGGTCACTAAATGTATATATACAGTATATGTATGGAGTGTGTGTGTATGTGTGTGTGTGTGTGTATGTGTGTGCTGTGTATGTATGTGTGTGGTAGATGTATACTTTCTTGAGAGCAGGCAACAGAATTTCATTTTTAATATGGGCCAGTGTGTTCATAGTAAAAAAGGACAATAAAGATTTGTCTTGTCTTATAAATAAACTGTTGTAAGTTGCAGACTACCTGTATTCTTGCTCCACCGGGGCTAACACGTTTTTAGGTTATTTTCCAGGGAGCTGGCTGCCCTCCCCGAGTGAAAACATCCCCCATAAAAACCCCTTGTGGGAATAGGTCTGCTAGGGATTCTCTATGGCCCATAATCTGTGTTTGGGTAATAGCAGGACCAATTGGACATACCTAGATCATACATACCAAGTTGTTGGTAGTTAAGGCGCAAAGTTTGGAAAGCTCCAGATATATGTAAGTCTGCTGAGAACTCCATGAGATGGAATCACATAGTGCATTTAAGCCCCAAGGCTTTATTTTTAGAATGTACAGTAGTCCTTGACTTACAACTGTTCCTTTAGTGACTGTTCGAAGTTACAACAATACTGAAAAAAAGTGACTTATGACTGTTTTTCACACTTATGGCCATTGCAGCATCCCATATTGACTTCAGATGCTTGGCAACTGGCCCATATTCCTGGCGGTTGTAGTGTCCCAATGTCATGTGATCAACCTTTGTGACCTTCTGACAAGCAAAGTCAATGGGGGACTCAGATTCACTTAACAACTGTGTTTCCTAACTTAACAACCACAGTGATTCGCTTAACAACTGTGTTAAAAAAAGTTCACACAATCAGGCAAAGTTCACTTAACAACTGCCTTGCTTAGCAACAGAAATTCTGCTCTTAGCTTGGGTTGTAAGCTGAGAACTACCTTTTTATGTATTTCCACATTTCTTGCCTGAAATGACAGGAAATTGACCTGTTGTAACTTGAGGAAATAGCGCTCTGGGCTGAATGTCAGGAATCCCTACTTAAGACATTAAACATCTACGTTCTGGGTAGATGAAGTAACTTTTCACTGTTTGCTGTCTTCTCCTTTTTTCTTCTTCTCTCCTGCCATTGGTTTTTTCCCCTCTCTTTTTCCAGGTTGAAAAAATGACAAATTCACTATATTTTACTACCATTGAGGAGGACAGGCAAATGCAAAACAATTTCCGCCTTGTGCAGCCCTTGAATGGTCGAAATGTCTATTACTACCAGGAACATAAAGAACTGAGTTATTGCCTGAAAAGGTGGTTTAACATAATATTTTGAAGAGAACTTCAGATCTTCCTGAAGAAGACCTGGTCTTTACATCTTGAATGTTGTGAGTCTAATTTTGCACAACATTAAATGAATGCAGTAATATCCACAAAATGTTTGTTGTGGTTTTTCAATAAAACGTGCATGTATTACTCTATCATGAGACTCAGTAGGAACTGAACATAAATATTTTTGAAAAGAGGTTTAGGATGTAGTAGTGCCTTACCTACTCTGACTTCAAAGACATCTAAAATATAGTGTTTTCTAATTTTAAAAAAGGCCATTAACTCAAATCTAGATAAGATGCCATAACATTCTTCTGAGAGTGTCTTCCAGGTCCTTCTAATCTAGAAATTAGGGGATATGTACAGTGCAGATAGTCTCATATAGCGACTGTTCACAGTTGTGATGGTGATAAAAAATGTAACTTTGTGACCAGTCCTCTCATTTATGACCTTCGCAGATCTGTAAAGCAAAGGAAAGCAGAAAGAAGATCATAAGCACATTTGGCGTTTTAATTAACGGCCGCTTAGCTTATTGGCTCCCTTGTTGATCTCAATTGTGGTTGCTAAACGAGGAATTCCTGTACAGTATTCCAGCGAGCCACCCTTATGGCGACACAGTTAACAGGTTGAGTTCAGGTCAAGACCAGGTTCAAATCACCACTCAGTCACAAGATTTATTAGATAATTACAGGTTGCTGACTATCCACACCTAACCTACCTCACAAAGTTAATCACGAGGACACAGAGGTTGGAATGGAAACAGATACAGTACAAAATGCTGATCTTCCTGAAAAAAAGATGAGGTAAATATGCAATATCTAATGACAATAGCCACCCAACAGATTCAGGGGATATTAAGAAGGTTGAATTATAGTAAGAAAATATGATCCACTGAAAGGACATATCTTTTTAGAATAGAATAGAATTAGAATTCTTTATTGGCCAATGTGATTGGACACACAAGGAATTTGTCTCCGGTACATAAGCTCTCAGCGTAATACAAGCAACAAGTGATAAATCATGATCATAATAATCATAAAATACATTCATCATAAATCATAAGATACAGCACTCAGTGATAGTCACAGTATATACTACATAAGCAGTCAACATAAAGCATGCTAGGATACTAAATAAAACAATATAAATCATAAGACATAAGCAACAAAGTTATAGTCATAAGACAATAAGGAGATAGGTAATAGGAAAGATGAGAAGAATCATAGTAATACAGACTTACTAGGTAGTTTGACAGTGTTGTGGGAATTACTTATTTAGCAGAGTGATGGCATGGGGGTCTAGTTGTGTCTAGTTTGTGTCTAGTTATACTGGCATGCAATGCCCTGTAGCATCGTCTTGAGGGGAGAAGTTGAAATAGTTTATGTCCAGGATGTGAGGGGTCTGTAGATATTTTCTCAGCCCTCTTTCTGGCTCGTGCAGTATACAGGCCGTGAATGGAAGGCAGGTTGGTAGCAGTTGTTTTTTCTGCGGTTCTAACTATCCGTTGAAATCTGTGTCTGTCTTAAGATATCTTCCTTGAGCTGTTGTCTCAAATAGGTTTATCACAAACTATACATAACCAGACAAGCTACATACATTCACAGACCCATCCTGATGAGCTGATTGCTGAATACGTTCATCTTCTACGGATCCAACTGGACACTACAGGAAGTCCTCAACTTACAACCATTCATTTAGTGATGGTTCTAAGTTGCGATGGCACTGAAAAAAGGGACTTATGACCATTCCTCGTACTTACAACTGTCATAGCATCCCCAGGGTCAGTGATCAAAATTCAAGCCCTCGATAACTGGCATGAATTTTTGATGGCCACAATGTCCTGGGGTCATGTGATCACCATTTGCAACCTTCCCAGCTGGTGTCTGACAAGCAAAGTCACTTAACAACTGCAAGTGATTTGCTTAACAACCATAGCAAAAAAGATTGTGCTAATATATCAAGCACGTCTCACTTAACAACCAATTTGCTTAGCAATGGAAATTCTGGTGCCAACTATGGTCATTAATGAAAGACTAATTGTATAATAATAATAATAATAATAATAATAATAATAATAATAATAATAATAATAATAATAATAATAAAAAGTTGGAAGGGACCTTGAGGGTCATCTAGTCCAACCCCCTGTTCAGGCAGGAAACCCTATACCATTTCAGACAAATGGCTGTCCAGTCTCTTCTTAAAAACTTCCAGTGTTGGAGCATTCACCACTTCTGGAGGCAGGTTGTTCCACTGGTTAATTGTTCTAACTGTCTCCTTATTTCTAGGTTGCTTCTCTCCTTGGTTAGTTTCCATCTGTTTCTTCTTGTCCTGCATTCAGGCACTTTGGAGAATAGCTTGACTCCCTCTTCTTTGTGGCAGCCCCTGAGATATTGGAACACTGCTCTCATGTCCCCCCTTGTCCTTCTCTTCATTAAACTAGACATACCCAATTCCAGCAACTGTTCCTCATATGCTTTAGCCTCCAGTCCCCTAATCATCTTTGTTGCTGTTCTCTGTACTCTTTCTAGAGTCTCAACATCTTTTTTTATATTTGTTACAGCTTGTTGCTGTATTGTTGTTGTTGTTGTTTTGAAAAAAATAGCCTGTGGCATGAAAGACCATAGGTTAGGATTGTGGTATTCAGAGGGAGAAATCCTCATTTCTTTGTTCCCATCGCTGTCCCGATCTGAATTATTGCCTTCTCCCGCATTTAATTATTTCAAAACAACAGTAAAAAATATCCCTACGTGACAATCACCATCTAGCTTGGCATGATTACATTTTATTTACAAGATCCTGACAAAACTATTTTCATTTTGTGAATCCCCGTGCGGCTGCTGATAAAAACAGGATTGCCAACATGATCGCCAACGTCTGATAACGGATATGGCACAAGAAGAAGAAGAAGAATCCCCAAGGAGAGTAACATTCTTTAAAAATTTCCACATAAACAGGGTTGTTTTCCCTCACCACCACCTCTGAGGAGCAACTTGTAGCAGAAAATTACATTTGCTTCAGTTTTAGTTATATTTTCTGCAGTTCACAAATTCAGCTTTACAGCAAAAAGAAACTAGTTCTGGTAGCGAGATGGAAAGTTAGTTATGGGGGTGATAATTCCCTTCCCTTTTTATTCAACAAAGCTCTTGGTCTGCTGTTCTGTGAGCCTATTATTGTCTATTGTCCGATAACAGGAAAATCAAGCTGGGGCTTTATCATAGGTGTTTTGATTACTCTTTACACTTTGGGGCTCATCCTTACAGCCAGCTTGCCTAAGGAGAAGGCATAACTAAATCAGAATATCAGCAAATAGCCCAAGCCTGCAAAGATGAAGTGAGGAAAGCTAAGGCTCAAAATGAACTAAGGTTTGCGACCAAAGTCAAAAATAACAAAAAAAGCTTCTTTCAATATGTAAAAAACAAGAAAAAAGTGAAGGAAATGATTGGTCCATTAGTGGATGAAAGTGGCAAGAAGGTGTATGGGTATGTCTAGTTTAACGAAGATAAGGACAAGGGGGGGACATGATAGCAGTGTTCCAATATCTCAGGGGCTGCCCCAAAGAAGAGGGAGTCAAGCTATTCTCCAAGGCACCTGAAGGCAGGACAAGAAGCAACGGATGGAAACTAATCAAGGAGAGAAGCAACCTAGAACTAAGGAGAAACTTCCTGATAGTTAGAACAATTAACCAATGGAACAACCTGCCTCCAGAAGCGGTGAATGCTCCAACACTGGAAGTTTTTAAGAAGAGACTGGACAGCAATTTGTCTGAAATGGTATAGGGTTTCCTGCCTGAGCAGGGGGTTGGACTCGATGACCTCCAAGGTCTCTTCCAACTTTTTTATTATTATTATTATTATTATTATTATTATTATTATTATTATTATTATTATTATTATTATTATTATTATTATTATTATTATTATTATTATTATTATTATTATTATTATTATTATTATTACCATGTCTAGAGGTGACATGCAAATATATATCCTGCATCCGACTCCAGCCTCTGGTGAAGACAATTTCTGCCTAACTTGTCTTGCTCCAGACTAAAAGCAGGTTTTGCTACCTTTGCCAGCACAAACTTGGTACAATGTGGTCTGCCAGCTGATCCACCCTGACTTGCTGGCAAACATCTAAGTTCTTCATTACGGCAGGAACAGATCCTTCTTCTTCTTCTTTTTTTCAATATTTTTTTATTTTTTAAACCAACAAAACAAAACAAAACAAAACATAACACACATACACACACAGTGTATACTCCTCCCTTTTTTTTTTAACAGCGATTTCATAATGGTAATCTTCTATTATTTACATTTCCCCCCCCTTATTCTTCTTTAGATATATTTGTCCTTGTTGTCCCGTTGTTTCTTATTTGCATTTTTCTTCCTTCATACTATACTTCATACTAAGAATAATACATATTATTATTACTATACATTATTATACACACATTTTCCACTTTTGACCTTTCCACATTTATTCTCCTCTATTATTTCTAGTCTCCAACCTGTCATACCACTTGTTCCATATTAGATAGTACTCTGTGTCTTCCTTTTCTTTTATCTCTTTTGTTAATTTGTCCATCTCAGCACAGTCCAGGATTTTTCTTTTTTTTTTTTTTCAAAAGAAATTTTATT